ATATTGAGATCAATAAACGATTTGAGGCAAGTAATGCACCATTTAAACTTCAAGTTGATTTGCATAAACGACATTTTGTTATGTTGCAGGCTCGTAGTGCTGGTTCTTTTAAAATTGTAAAGCATGTTGGTCCAAATGCACATGTCATTGATCTTTTATCACATTTTGGCTACCACTCTACTTTAAATATTAAGGACTTCATTACTTACAAACACCATTTCAATTCTTTTGATGATCATTTTCTATTAAACTTTGTGGACCCCCGACCTGTTCATCTTAATATTTTGACTTTAATACCATCTGTTACAGCACACAAAGATACAATTGATGTTATTTTAGATGAACAGATGGCGTTGACCAATGATGGAGAAATTTGGTGCTTCCTTGCTCGTTGGGTAGTTCCACCTGGCGCAAATCATATTCTTGAGGACAATTTGCAATTGGCATTGGCATCATTTGCCGAGTTTCGATATTTGGTTCTTACGAAAGATCGTCCTCCGTGGTCGACGTTTATCAACTCGACGGGGTCGAGTTTTTCTCCACCCCGGGAGAGTTGATGCAGACATCATCGAAACTTAATTTTATTGTTATTGGGTTTTATCATTTATATTTTCTATTTTTATTGTTATTGGGCTTGTAGTAGTGAGTTGGCCCAAACCCATTACTAGCTATGTTTTCGCTATTTATATGATTTTCATTGTAATTTAGAGAGTTGATGAATATGATGAATTAAAGATCGGCTTGCAGCCGTTTTCTCCCCCCTTTCTTCTTGTTCTTCTTCTTGCTTCTTTACGGCTTCTTCTCCCTCTCTTCTACTACTACTTTCTTCTGACAATTCTAATTCTACTTTTGTCCTGCATCACGATCTCTGTGGGACGATACTTGAACTCAAATCCACTTTATTACTTGTTACTGAACCATACACTTGCGGTGGTTTTAATTCGAAAGATATTTTCGTGGACACATTAACTTGATTCATTTTAAATTAGAGAAGGGAATATGACGATGACAAAATAAAGGCAAAAACATGATAGTAATTTTAGTTGGAAAGTTAATTTAGTAGAATGGTAATCCATGTTCCACATTTTTCAATCTACTTCTCTAATACTACACTATGTAGCAAATTTGATTAAGGGAGTCACCTCAACTAGCTTTTTGGCAAAATCCATTGGATGAGAAGATCGCATAGTCTCCAATTTAGCCCAGTCCCCTATGGATCCATCGGAGTCCTCATCTAGATCTTCTTCTTCATCAAGAACACCGACCCAGTCCTGCAGATAAACAATATCAATGCCTACATACTGCATAACTACAGTTTGATACTTGAAGAGGGAATTGAAGGAAAAGTAACCACCTTTCCATAGTTATCGTTTTCAGTGTCATCATCCTCTTCATCACGGAAATCACTATCTTCATCATCTAACTCATCAATGCCAAAATCAATTTCTGAATGACCTAGCAACTCAACCTCACTAATCATCTCAGCAGTATCCAGTCCAATAATAACTTGCTGCATTTGTTAAAATCAAGTATGCCTTCAAAACAATCATTTAAAGTTGGATAATCCTTGTAATGCCGAAAATATATAATTTTTAACTTCTTTCAAGCTGCAGAGAGATGAAGTATACCATTATGTTTGCCATATCAGAAATTTAACATATTAAACACCAGACAGAGAAAACATTAAAGAATTTAGGAATAATTAGACCTATATAGGAGAAAACATACCAGACAACAAGCAATAGTAGTATTACACTTCATAGGCGAAAAACATTTTAGTGTTCCAAAACAATAACTTATTAATTAAATGGAATCAATGCTATAGCACAAATCTCACCACAATGTTTTCCTCGGTAGATAAAGTTTGCAAAATATCTTCATCATTCTTCACTTGAAAGTATATATCTGACAATAAGTAAATAAAAGTATCAACAACAATGCTGCTTAACCAAACAATTGCTACCCGTAATAAACATGAGAATTATAAACAATAGATGATTTATCTTACTTCCATGTTCATCAGTTACATAAGGTAAATCTGACCAGAATACGTTTTCATGAATTTCATCACTCACGAAACCTGAAAACATCATCATTGCTTTGCTATTTACCTAGAAAAATAACATTATCCAAACAAAATTAATGAATGAGGGTTTATACAGCTCACATTTTAATAGAAATATTTCAACTGTGGAAAATCAATAATCATTGAAAATCACATTTTTCCCTTTCAGTTATACTGATACCTCAATAATGGTTCTAGTAGTTTCAGCAGGCGATAGAGTGGCTTCCTCATTCTCTAATAACTCCGACTCCGCAATTTCCTCAAACGGATGATACTTCTGTGAATTCCCATTCTGCTTCTCGAACCCCGAACCCGAGCTGGAATGTTCCTTTGCAGTTGCTCTTATACAATTACCACATTTTACCCTTCTTCCACCTGAATTATCGCTCAAACTCCTGCACTTATTTCAGCCAACCAAATTCACTAACAAATCTTACATCATTACCACAAAGTTCACATTTTCTTCCAAAAATGTACCGAAATCTAATATTCTTGCTCAAATAAAAAACAACAATAAAGAGATGGTACCGGGAGAGGGAGAAGGTGGCAGAATTAGTGTAGAGGCGGGTGGAGGAATCGAAGTTTGCGGCGGAGAAACGGACGGCAGCGGTAGCGGAAGGCTCGATCATCAGCATCTTTTACGAAGCTAAGATTAACGGATTATTCAATTGAACGAGCAAATGCCATTGTTTACGAAGCTAGGTTCTATTTTATCTTTCGGTAGTGTGTTGTACCTTTTCAAAATTAGTTTAGTAGGTGTTTTAATTTTGTGTTTGAGTTTTAAATTTATTTTAATTTTTATGTTTTGACTTTTGAGAGTCCATTTTAATATGATTGAAAATAGGGCTGGGTCGGGTCGGGTTTGGCCCAAAACAGACCCGACCAGGCCTGATCAGGTCCAATTTTTTTTTTATAACACTAATTGACTTAAATATAAATAATAATTTTGCCATTTCAATAAGAATTTTTCTTCCATCAACAAAAAACAATGTTTGGTAGCTTCCAGATTTTTAAATTTCTTAAATGGAAAAAATACAAGTTTATGAGATATCCAAGGGTAGTAGTTTAAGAAATATCAACAAAAAATACATTTAGCGTATGTAGTGTCATGGGTTCCTAATTGAAAGAGGTCTAAACTAGTTTATGAGATATCCAAGGCTTTGAAAATGCCTAAGAGAAAAAGTCTAATTAGGCTAGAGACAAATCTAGAAGCTGAAATATATGCCAATAGCCTCCAGGTAATAACAAAAAAAAGGAGATTTCGCTTTCAAACCTTAATCCATAAGATCTATTTATCCAATCTGCCTATTTTATTGTTTTTCTAAACACTAGTCTCATTCATAAGTCTACACAAATGACAAGATAACCCAAAGCATTCAGATAATAAAACTTAAAGAGTGGCAACAGAGGGAGTACCGTCTATCTGAATCAGTGTTCTAAAATGCGCCAAAATGCGCCGCCTAGGCGTGATGCGGGGACCAAACGCGTCGAATTGGTGCAATGCTCGGAAAATGCGTTTTTGACATTTTTTGTTGGAAAATTCGCGCGCCTAGGCTCGCATTTGCGCGCATTAGCCCGCATTAGCACTANATTGGTGCAATGCGCGGAAAATGCGTTTTTGACATTTTTTGTTCGAAAATTCGAGCGCCTAGGCGCGCATTTGCGCGCATTAGCCCGCATTAGCGCGCCTAGGGACGCCTAAGCGCGCATTTTAGAACAAATTTATTTATTTATTTTTTTTTTTGGTAAAATTTTTTTTTTTATATAAAAATATATTTAATGCCTTAAAATATGAAACGCATTATTCCGTTTATTCTTCGCATTGACACGCCTAAACTTGTGATTCTTGATTCTCGGCCTCGACGCTTCGCTACGCATTACGCATTTTAGAACACTGATCTGAATCATTTACAAATCTGAGAGTTAAAGACCCTCGAATTCATACCAAAATCTACGGGTTGCGTCCATCGTCAAATTGATTTGCTATTTTAATGCCAAATAAGCTACTCACAGCACGGAGAGGGAGAGAAAGACGCGGTTTCACTCCTATGGAAATAGGGCAAACAACCAAGGGGGAGAGAGAGACGACGGTTTGTGGAAATAGGGTTAGAGAAAATAGGTTGGGTCGGTTTGAATATATTTAAACCGTGGATCAGACCCGACCCAACCCATTTTTAAATCAAAATTGACCCGAACCGACCTGATCGGGTTGGTTCGGATCGGATCCACGGTTTTCTCTTTATGGGCCCAGCCCTAGTTGAAAATGTGTGTTTTTGATATTTTGAAAATTTGCTTTCAAAAATAAAAAACATGTTTCCCCTCCCCCCTCTCTCAACGAAACCCATCGACACCACCTGTTTCCCAATCTTTTCCATTTTACCAACGATAACAACGCAAAAGTTGAAAGCAGCAGCATTGCGTATGAAAATCAAGATTATGCTACAAATATCTACTGAACGCGTTTCATAATCTGGTTCAACCATTAAAGCACCCACTGCTCCGTAGATGAAAGGTCATCTTCTAGTTGAACTCAATCGAATTATGAAATTTACCAAGCCAAGACCTAGAAAAGATTCCACCTTCGATAAAATTGAAGAACACCCTGATAAGGCCTTGGCTGGTAAAGTGAGTGGTGGAAGAGGGAAAAAGGCCATGAAGAAAATCTTTCAAGGCATTGAAAAACTCCAAGAAACCGAAAATTTGGAGGAAACTCAGATGGACTCGAAAAATGTTAAATTCACTTTTGTACTTGGTGAATTGTGGGAAAATGCAGTCTTTGAAAATGTTGTAGGAGTTCAGGAAGATTCAGAGGTGGCCAAGAAAAGTTTGGAGAGTATTGAATTTGATATTCCATTTGGGGAGGTTGAAAATGAAGGGAAATTGAAGAAAATGCCATGGGAGAGAGATGAGAAAATGGTGATTAGGAGGGTAAAAAAGGAGAAAGAGGTTACCACTACTGAGTTGGTTCTTGATGGAGTATTACTAAAGAGGTTGCAGGGCGAGGCTGCAATGACGAGAAAATGGGTGAAGGTTAAGAAAGTTGGGGTGACTTGAGCTGCTGTTGATCAAATTCATCTTATTTGGAAGAACAATGAACTTGCCTTAATCAAATTTGATCTGCCCTTACGCCGAATACAGAGAGAGCGCAAGAGCTCACTGAGGTTAGGTTTGTTTACCTTTCCTTTTCTTTATCTACATAAATTAGTCTATACTTCTGAAATAGTCAGTGTTTTCACATAAGTGGTGTTGCTGGCAGTGGTTGTAGTGGTGTTGTTGTAGCTGTGGCGACGACAGTTTTCAGGAAGTGGTGCAGTGGTAGGTCGCGGTGATGGTCGCGGCGGTGCAGTGGTGGTTAGTCGCCGTCGTGGTTGGCGGCGGTGGTGGCAGTGATTGAAAACACCCAAAACGCGTTTTGAAAATTTTGCTTTGATTATAACTGAAAACACCAAAAAGAACAAATTTGTCGTTTTGGGTTTCTTTGTAAATTTTTAACTTGTTTTCAAAAACACGTTTTCAAAAATAGAAAAGAGAACGTGTTTTCATTGTTTTGAAAAATCGAAAACAGAAAACGGCTTGAAGACGATAAAGAGAACATGCTCTAAAATTTTTGTCATTCTCTGCTCATTAAAATTTTAAATGTCTAGTTTTGATCATCAAATTTATTAAAATATTAAATGTTGCTGACATCCTTTTCACAATCCTAAAGAAATTAATAGCACGATAGACGGAATGCACAGACGACATCTAAACACCATTATGCGACCAATCACGACACACCAAATTGTCACATAAAAAAGACGTCTTTGATTGTTCACTCTACTTTAGAAGACATTTTTTATTACTAATTTTACTTTAAGTTATTCTAGTTTTGGCCACTAAAATTATAAAACTGAAGTCAGATTTTCTTGGAAGTTATTGATGTTTTTCTAGGATCGCTTGCATACAACAAAATTTAATTTTGTAGCATATTACAAGGTAATGTTTCAAGATATTTTACAATATACATGGATTTTATTACAATTCTTTTCATATTTGATATACATTTGAAGATAGATTTTTTAAGAGAAAACCAAGGATAGGAGTTAGAATTAACATCGATTCTAAATAGAGACATTCATCCGTATTAAAGCTTAAATATCTAGATACTCGATCTCCCTGTACCATTTTTTGATCACCTTACGCATTACACCGGTTGAAGTTACCTTGGACAATCTACAATTTGTCCAATAAATACTGATCAACATTTGCATCTACTAATTATAAATAGAACAATGAAGAGGGATAAAATAAAATGGTAAGAAAATATTGATGATTCCGATGACTAATTTTAACAAAAATATGTATGACATTCAATCAAAAAAATCCCCAATCTACATTAACAAAAATCAACATGTACCACTTGCAACCAATATTTTTGTGCAGAAAAAATATACACCAAAAAAATTCACCATAAGTATGTGCATTAATGAAAACGTTTGCAACTGCTAATTACACTAAGGGTCCGTTTGATGGGCAAATGAGGAAAAGAATTTCAATCTCATGTTAATTAGAAAATAAAAATTCATCAAACCCATATGAATTCGTTTTCCATGAAAATAAAGAAAATGTAGCTTAAAGTAGTTGTACCTTAGAATTTGATTTTTATTTCCACGTTGAAATTAAACGGCCAAAGTAGAATTCGTTTTCCTCGGATGTGACATTTTTCATGGAAATCGTTGCAATCAAACATGGCCTAAAAAAAGTCAACCGAAATTCTGCCATCAATGAAAAAAAATGGAGTAGACCCCTCCAATTCACTTGTGCAGATCAATTATATTGCAAAATGTCTTGAAAATTTTCTTTTTAACATATTGCAAAATTAATTTGGTTTATTTGTAGATCTATGATCTTATTTCTCCTTATATTCAAAGCACGAATATGCACACATACACATACATCTACTGACACTTGAGAATTGAGATATGTTTTTTTTTATTTTTTACTTCTAGAGATATGATCACATCAATGTTGGCACTTATTGCTCTGGTACTTGATTTGGGTCTCAATTGGGAGCTTGTAAGTGAGGCGATCATCAAGTAATTTGCAGTTTAAGGTCAGATCATTGAAATTTTATACATGTATCTTTCTTGATAGCATTGATTTGAGTCTTATCATGAAATATTTTCATTTCCTACTGGGTATTTTTTCATTGACTTTTTCTATTTTGTATTCCCCCGACTTCATCTACTTCTTTAAGCTCAAAAGAAAAAGTTGGGACTATTGGAGAAGGATGAATTGAAAGACGAGTTCTATTGGAAAGGGGAGAATCAGTGAGAAATCCACTGTGTTGGGTAAGAAACGGGGTATAATAGCAAATTTATATCGTATATCATTTTCTGGTACATGGAATTCTCTAACTCCCATGGATTTCTCTATTCTCTTCATTTTCTAATGTTTCCTAAATTTAATGTAGACCACTTAGAGAGAGCTTCTTATAAGAAGTTGGTCAAAGTTATTGAAGCTTTTGATGTCATTTTGGAGGTGCTTGATGCTCAAGATCCCCTTGGTAGTCACCATGTTGACATGGAAAACATGGTTATTTTCATTCTGCTTTACTTCCATTGTGAATTTCACTTGTCTATCTGATAGAGTACCAAGTAGATCTTCTGGAATCACATCTATAATTTTTTGTACCACTGGTACATCCTCAATCTATTTCGTCTTATGTTTTTCTCCTATGATATTAACTAGAAATCCTTGATATGTTTCTTTTCTCAACATTTTCTTGGCTTCAAGACTGATACCAGTTGAAGATGGGATTTGGTCTTCATTTCGGGAAAAGAAAATTTTCTTCTCTTGGTTTCTGAAAAGACACTTCCATTTCTCTACAACGAATAGTTACATAATTACATCTCAACTAATCCATGCCCAAAATCACATCAAAGTATTTCATCTCTATTAGATAAAAATTAGCTTCTAATGTTTTCCCTCAATTTCAAGATTCACCGACCTAGCTAACTAATCAGTATTCAATGTTTTGCCTGAGGGGATGCTAACTTCTAGTGTATTCTCTGACTTACTACAAGTAATACTAGATTTAGCAAT